GAGCCCCTGCTGTCTCGGCCGCGTCCTCTGGCTTCTGATGGCAGAGTGGACCCCAGAGCACGTCCCGCCTGTGCCGGTGGGGGGCTGGTCGGTTGCTGTGGGGCCTCGTGGCGTGAAAGCACGTGGTGCACTCCCTGTCCCGTCCTGTGGAGGGTGCCGTCCTGGGGCCGCTTGTCAGTCCAGAGCAGCGGGTGGCGGCATTGGTCACCGTCTCTCCAGGGGTGCAGTCCCCCCCCCCCCCCCCCCCCCCCCCCCCTCGCCCCGGCTTTTCACCCCTCGTCCTCCTCCCTTGCACAAGTTGTTACGCGTTTCTTTAAGATTTTTATTTTTTTATAGTTTTAGAGAGAGAGGAAGGGAGAGAGAGAAACATCAATCTGATTGGAAACATCGATGGGCTGCTTCCTGCATGCCCCACCAGGGGTCGGGCCCACAGCCGGGAGCCTGGCGTGGGTCTTTCTCTTGCTGATTTGTGGGTGTTCTTCCCACAGTCTGGGTTCGAGTCCCTTGTTGGTGCACATATTTTTTTAATTTTAGTTTAAAGAAAAAATGATTTTAAATATAATAATGTTACATGCAATAAGTATTTCAAGAAAAATGGTTTTAAATATGTTACATGCAATAAACATTACTATTTCAAGAAAAAAAGATTTCAAATATAATAATATTACCAAAACTGTCCTAATATAGTATAATATCACAAAAGTTTTAGGAAATATAAAATCTGCAAATAACAGGATTACTTCTATTATGTTCTAAAATAGTTTTTCCTCTGGCTCTATTTTTGCTCATCAGTTTACGTTTTTCATTATATCCCACAAATGAGTGAGCTCACGTGATATTTGTCTTTCTCTGACTGGCTTATTTTGCTTAGCATAATGCTCTCCAGGTCCCTCCATGCTGTTGCCAATGGTAAAAGTTCCTTCTCTTTTACGGCAGCGTAGTATTCCATTGTATAGATGTACCACAGTTTCCTAATCCACTCATCTGCTAAGTGAGGCACTTAGGCTGTTTCCAAATCTTAGCTATTGTACATTGTGCTGCTATGAACAGAGGGGTGCATATGTCCTTTCTGATTGGTGTTTCTGGTTTCTTGGGATATAGTCCTAGGAGTGGGATCACTGGGTCAGATGGGAGTTCCATTTTTAGTTTTTTGTTTTCCACAGTGGTTGCACCAATCTGCATTCCCACCAGCAGGGTGAACATATTTTTAAAAAATATATGTTTTTATTGATATTTTAGAGAGGAAGGGAGAGGGATAGAGAGAAATATCGATGAGAGAGAAACATCATCCATCAACTACCTCCTGCAACCTGGGCAAGTGCCCCGCCTGGGAATCGAACTGGTGACCGCTTGCTTCCTGGGTCGATGCTCAAGTGCTGAGCCTCACCGGCGGGCCTGGTGCACTACTTCGAATTTTCCCGGTTGATGGCTTGGCTTTTCACTTTCTTTTTTTAAAATATTTTTTAATTTATTTCAGAGAGGAAGGGAGAGGGAGAGAGAGATAGAAACATCAATGATGAGAGAGAATCATGGATTGGCTGCCTCCTGCACACCCCACACTGGGGATGGAGCCCGCAACCCGGCCATGTGCCCTGACCAGGAATTAAACCGTGACCTCCTGGTTCATAGGTCAACGCTCAACTACTGGGCTGATAACACAATTTTTAATAAGATTTTAATAGGACCACTTAGGTTTTCTGTTTCTTCCTGTCAGTGTGTGTGTGTGTGTGTGTGTGTGTATTGATTTCAGAGAGAGAAAGGGAGAGGGAGAGAGAGAGAGAAACTCAATGATGAGAGAGAAGCATTGATTGGCTGTCTCCTGCACGCTCCCCACTGGGGATCGAGCCGCAACCCGGGCCTGTGCCCTGACTGTGACCTCCTGGTTCATAGGTTGACGCTTAACCCCTGAGCCACGCCGGCCGGGCTCTGTCACGTCTGTGAGACGTGCTCTTCACTTGTCGTCCGACTCTCATTCGGGGCAGGTTGGGGCACAGCATGTCCCTGACTCCCGGCTTGTGCTCGGGTCCTCCTTTCAGTCCTGGCCTTGGTGGCTGTTTTCTTTTTAATTGATGAGAGAGAGAGAGCGAGGGGGAGAGAGAGAGAGAGGGAGAGAGAGCGAGAGTGAGAGGGAGAGAGGGAGAGAGAGCGAGGGAGAGAAGAGAGAGAGAGGGAGAGAGACGGGGAGAGAGAGGGGGGGAGAGAGGCGGGCAGGGAGGGAGAGGAACACCGATTTGTTGTTCCACTCATGCATTCATCGGTGCTTACAGAGACTGAGCCTGCACCCTGGCGCATCGGGGCGATGCTCTACCCAGCTGCCGGGCCAGGGTGCGATGGTTTCTCACCGGCTTCCGAGGGCGTGTGTGCGGTCTTCCCCAGGCCGGCTCCGCACGTGTGTGGTCGGAGCGGCTCTGCCTCCGGCCTCTGTCCACGTGCGCCTTTCAGCTCCCGCTGCCGGTCCCAGTTGCTCCCCAGCTTCGTTTCCTGGTGTTTGCACGGAAGCTGCCCCTTCCTCCAAGCAGGGCGCTGGCTGTGCCCACAGGTGCTGAGACGGCTCTTGGTGCTGTGACTTCTGTGGGGTGTGTAGTGTTTGTGTGAACACATCCAGGACTCCAGCAGCTGCGAGAGCTCCCTAACTCGCACCCCGGGCCAGCGGCACCGCGATCCACGCGGCGGCCTCTCCTCCCTCGACGCAGTCTCTCCGAGGAGCCCTGGGCAGGTGCCTAAGGAGGCTCCTCATCTGAGTTTGCTGTGGATTTGGGGGGACATCCCTCAAAGGGGGCACCCACCCCCCTGTTCACCCCCGTTAGGTGTGCTGGGGCACAGGCCGCCTCCCTCCAGGCTCCTCTGCTCCTCCGTTAGCACTCACCCGTCCGGCCGCTCAGATGGGAGGAGGCGCCTCATCATGCACTTGCTGGGCTCGCAGCTGTGGGTCCAGCAGAGGCATCGCAGGCGTCGACCCCTCTGTACTTCCTTCGTGTGTTTGACATCATCCCCCCCCCCCCCCCCCCCCGTGCTGGGCTCTCCCAGGCACCCTGTCCCCCCGGTTCTGTCAGGTTGTGGCGTTTGCTTCTCTGTGTGTCCCGCCCTCTTTGTTTCTGGTTTCTCTGGTTGAGAGTCTGCACCCACATGGGGAGATGGTCCATCACGCCACCACCCTCCCTGGACCCCCTCTGCCCGCCTCGCCCGCCGGGTCTCACCTGGGCCTCTCTGCTGTGCCAAGCCCCACGGCCACGCTCTTAATTCCCATGTTCACGGTTCCGGTGAGGCCATGTCTTCTGCGTGTTGAGGCTCTGAAAGCTGCTGCTGTGAGCTGCCTACTGTCGACTTGGCCTTTCTTCCTTCATCTCGCTGTTCCCACAGCGGCTGGTGATTCATGGTAGTTAGTTCATATTGTATGAACACGCGTCTTAAACTTACAAACACGCGTCTTAAACTTACGAACACGCATCTTAAAGTATACGAACACGCGTGTTAAATGGATCCCTTTGCTTCCACAGCGCACGCGGGGCACCTGCTGGCGTTGGGTGCCGGGCTCCGATCATAGTAGCGGCTTCTGGTGGGCAGTGCGTGGGGATGGGGACACGTACCTGCCGGAGCACCCAGGTGGCCTCCACAGCGGCCTTCCCCTGGGAGCCCTGTGGCTCGGGGGGGTGGTGGATCAGAGGGCCCGCCTTCCCCCAGGCGCTGCTCTGTGTCCACGTCCGGCTTGGCCACGCCTGCGGGATGGAGGCTCTGCTGTTACCAAGTGTCAGCGTTTCCAAGGCGCCTGCAGCCGGTGGCCCTGCTGGGAGGGGCCCGAGGACAGGAAGCTGGGCTCGGACAGGAGTCGGTGTGGCCGGATTTGCGTTATTAACAGCGTCGTGTGCAATTAAAGCTGCACAGGCCTGCGGCGTACGATTCAGTCCGCCAGTTGTGCCGCTGCACTCGTGAGTCACAGCTCGCTCGGGGCGGGGCGTGATGGCAGGGGTGCGGGTCCCTTTGGGGGCTCACGTGCGCGTGGGGTCGAGCTCGCACACTGAACGTGCCAGACCCTCGGAGCGACGCTCCACGCGGTGAGGCTGCAGCTGGAGCCGCAGTGCACGGAAGAGGTGGCAAAGTCACGGAGCCCGACCCCGCCTGGGGCTGGACGTAGGGATGAGCCCAGCCTTGAGTGAGCCCCTCGGGGCACACCTCTGCCTTGTGGGCTTCGAGTCCCCAGACATCTGCCCAGCAAGCCCGGCCTCAGTGGGTCCCCCTCAGCTGCTCTGTCGCCTGGGCCTTGGGGGCGGCACTGGCTGCGTGTGTCTGTCCAGCACAGTGACGGGCTGGTGAGGAGCTGGCGATGGCTCTGCTGCCTCTCTGTCCTGTCAGCTCTGGGACAGGAAGTGACCCCACCCCGTGTGGTCCAGCCCGACTGGGGGCAGCCTCGAGGGAGCAGTGCCGTGTGGTGAGGTGGGGGGGGGCTCTATGGGGGTGCGACGGGTCCCTCAGGTAGTCAGCTCATCCCCAGCTGCCAGGCTGGTTCCTCGGGGCTGCTCCCCAGGCCCCCACCTTGAGCAGTGGTCACTGACGGGTCAGTGTCAGCAGCATGTGCGGTGGGCTGGGTGGCCACGAGCCAGACAGAACCGAGGACACCGCAGAGCCTTCGCCTCCCACAGCCACGGCCCTCGCCAGAGAAAGCGGGACCAGCTTGTCGTTTCCTGTGGGCCGAGCAGAGCCCATTTCTCACCGGGCTTGGCCTGGGGTGCAGGAGGGTGTGCGGGGCGGGGGGAGGGCCCCCAGCGGTGAGGACTCGGCTCTTCACCCTGCAGCTTCACCGTGCCCCGCAGGGCCTTGGCCTCTGTTCTGGGCCGTGCAGGGCCTCTCGTGGGGGGCGGGGCAGCAGCTTACGGGCAGGGGGGGTCTTGCTCAGAAGTGGGGGTGTGCAG